TCCCGTCAGTAAAAAGCGACACGTCTGTAACCGAGATGTAGTTTTACATGTTTTTGGGAGAATTCATTTTTTAGGCTGCGCTACTGTAGTGTTGGTATCTCGTACTACACTCATGTTTTTAACGTTTAACTTTTTATAAGAAATACCTATTTTCTCTGTAAAATATTGAATAATCGACGTCTATTTCAATTATTTTACTTCAGCCTCGTCCATAACCACTATTGTAATTACTAAATGCGGTTTAAAACACTGATAGCTTGATTGTATGTAAGAGGTTTAATCAAATTTTGTCCAACCAACTATACACGCGATGCGCCATCAATCTATACTTATTATAAAAATAAGTCCCCCGGCCGCGTCTTTCTGTCCTCCTGTCTGTCCTCCTGTCTGTCTGTACGCGATAAACTCGAAAACTACTGAACGGATTTTTATACGGTTTTCAACAATAGAAAGAGTAATTCTTGAGGAAGGTTTAGGTATATAATTTATTATGCTTTTATGTAAATTAGCTGAAATACGGCGACAAATGTTGAAGAGGTCGCAAAAAATCTCGCCAAATGGGAACTTTCCACGCGAACGCCGCGTAAACTAGCAAAGATACAGTTAAGTAATGTACTAGAGAATTCAAAATCTATAAAAATGCTACAAAAAAGTCCGCGATAGCATATCTCTATCTCTTACGGTTGACTTACAATAACCACTTTTATGTTAACATTTTTAATTAAAAACATTACGTTATTTTCAAAGTTATTTTCTTTAGTTCGGTATTAATCCTTATCCAAATGAATATTTTAGTTAGCTTAGTCATTTAATGCAGATTAAAATTGCTCTTTACACTAAATCAATCAGATGAATAGTTTTTGAGATATCGTTGTTAGAAGTAATTAGTAGCGAAACATTTTTAATGCTTGGCGAGCATTGAGATGCCTACGGCGAGTCCATCCCCTCTGCCCCGCATCGCTCGACCGCCTGCTCAAGCTATATAAACCGGGCGATGTAGCGCGCGATCCTAGGATACTTTTTACCGCGGGAAAATATCTTATTTCTGAGGAAAAATACAAAAACTGCAATGTAAGAGTATACTAATATGTAACACCTAAGAATTTAGTTTTTGGTCATCTGAACGCGGGCGGAGCCGCGGGCAATGCTAGTTAAAGATAAAAAATGCGTGAGTTGGATTGGCGCAAAAGAGGGTCCCGTACGTTGCTGTATACTAGGAATAAGCTAAATTCTATAGGTATTAATTCAAATTCTAGTAAGGAGCTTCAATATAATGAGAAAGGCCCATGTTTCGCATCATATCTATAATATATTTTTAAGTTTCCATTTTAAACGTGTAAAAAATATGTTCTTATATTTTTCATAACAAGCTTTAACGTCGGGAAACAAAAAATGCAAATAAATCCGCGACAAAATCCGAAAAGATAGTTTTATTTAAAAAGCTTTAATCTAAATGTAAAACACGATGCACTTGATTAATATTTTTATTGCACTAGTTTGACCCCCAAAAACAGCCATGAAAAGTTTACGATACCTATTCGTTACATTATCACCTGACTTTGTATATTTAAAATTTTATTTATCCTTCAATAATACCTCGTAAATCCTTCTTTAAAATAATTAATATTAATTTCTAAAGTATCTTTACAATTGTTAGAATATTTATCATTTCTATCTAAACTCGTTCCTAAGTAATGACGACGACGATTAAATAAAATATTGAATCGCTACAGCAATTTTTAGGGAAAATTGTTTTAGATTGTTTAAAGAATGTCGTATCTGTCAAAAAATGACTGAAACCATTTTTAGGGTTCCGTACCCGAAGGGTGCCAACGGAAGGAACCCTATTACTTAGCTTTTGCTGTCCGTCCGTCCACCTGTCAGAGAGCTATCTATCTCATGAACCATATTAGGTAGATATTTTTTTTTATTATTTCAGATTCAAATGATATCGTCCGAAACTTTAGTGCAAATATGATAAATATTGTGCGTATTGTAAATTTATTTAATGAACCTTAATAATTATATTATCCATTACTTGTATTTCAATTTTAAAATATGTATGTATTTCCGACTTAAATAACAGCATATAGCCTTCCTTAATAAATGCAAATCGGATTAGTCCCTAGTTCCTGAGATTAGCGCGTTCAAACAAACACATAAACTCTGCCTCTGTATAATATTAATATAGATTTAAAATGCATATTATGCATAAACTTTTATATTAACACCATCTAATGGACAATAGCTTACATTACAACAACGCCATCTCTTATTGAGTAGAAATATTTCTCTCAAATAATTTCGTATTGTATTAGTTCATTGATAAACCAGTAGATGTCACAACAGTAAATTCTTGTAAAAACACTTCTCTTGGAATTACTGAATTTTAATTATTAGTAATTCTAATTATTATCTTAACTGATCTCAGTAGTCGGTACACTTTTCGACGATGGTAGTTTTCGTATCGGTTTAGGTTTCCGGCCGGGCCGCTGTGCACTGAGCACAAATGCCAGTATGGAAAAGAGGTCGACTCCTATGGACTCCTTGCAGAAGAATAATTGTATTTGTTTTGTACATATAATTATGTATATTTGGAATTTTCTTTAGTATATCTTTTAATATGGCAAAAAAAATGAAATGATAACAAAATTGATAACAAAACTAAAGTAATTGTGGTATTAATAATATTTTCTTATAAAACGAGTGACTGGTTATATTAATATTTGTTTGGAATTTTTATATTTATGATTTTATCAGATATTGGAGCGATGCCAGCCTCCTTCATTCCTAGCCATGGAAACAGGGTTTCCCAACATATTATTGCTTGCTGATACGAAGAACATCGCTATGAAAACTTCCCGTCTGAAAGAACCTTCCTAGTTAATAAACATGTCAAATTCTCCGTCCTCCGTCGAATTTTCTTTAGCCAGCATAAGCTACTGGTTGCTATAAAAAATATACCACATGTTAACAAATTCAAAGTCTGCTCACGTTTGAGTTTCTATTTAGGAGTCAATTTCACACGACCTCCTATTAATAGTAGTGTTACACTATAATAATAATACAGATAAATAGGTTTATTTGTAAATAATTATTTGATTCTATAAGTTGCCAGTTCTAATATAAAATACTTATTTTTCTTTGTCATCTTGAGTGGAAAAAGGGCGGGAAAAGGGTTGTTTTGTTTTAAGAATTAATGAAATTAGAAATATGTTATTTCTCTTTCGAAATGTTATTAGAGGCGTTACTCTGTGTACAAAACAATAAAAGTGTGCCATTAGATCGAATTTTATTAGCCTAGCCGACCTACTTCTGAAATACTCCCATAACATTCGCATAGGACGGAAAGCTCAAACTATACTTTAGATACTCGACTCCACCTATTGAAGTAAAACTTGTATATGTTAGATTAAAAATATTTATAAGCTGATAAATCTATCAAGACGTTTCCGAATAAGGCTCGAATAAACAAACAGTTTTTTTTACAAAATGTTGATATTAGAAATCGTTGAGAAATCTACATTTTTAGTTTTGGCCTACGCTGTGAGATATAATTATGATCTTGTTAGAATGTTACTCAATACTTGTATGTATGAGAAGGCAAAGGTCATATCTTACGCCAGCAACGAGGTAAGGTACCACTACACATAATAGGTTGTTAGGAGTTCGATTTCAAGTTTAGTCACCAAACCCATATTGCTAAAAAAATCGGTGTTTTATATTTTATCAGTCTTTTCCCAAGTGAACATCGTAAACCGTAGTAAATCGGAACTCATGTTAATTCATTCGCAAATATGTAAATAGACATAAAAAAATGCGCTTAGCTCAAAATTATTGTCATTGCACAATTCAAGAACAAGTTTTATAATTTACTTTTGTATAACTACAATCAATGTCATCCATAATTACTATTTTTGTTAATATTAATTGATTTTTTGTTAAAGAAAATAACTTAACAGTGATCAAGTTGTACTTCAAGTACAAGTTTGAAAAACAGTAAATTTATTTATTACACAAAAATTTAATACAAAATAAACAAATAGAGTGCAATATAGTTACTCTAAATAATAACCTTAACGCAACAAGTAGTCATGGGAATTACATTACGTCTCATAAAATGGCACTTTATAATACATACACAAATTTCATTCGTGTCTCTGCACAGTCCTAAATATAATAAGTTAACAGTAGGCTAGGTTCTAATAACACATCTCGTATTATATGTGGCCTTACAGTGTTGCCAGCTACAATATAGAGAGATAGATAAGTTTTTAAAATGGTTTTTAAAATGTTTATTTTTATTTTCACTCGATTATTTCCAATCATCTATTAATAAAAGTATACTGTACAATACCAAGGGATGATTCAAATTACAAATTATTACAGCTGACATTAAATATAACAATAAAATAAAATATTTTTATATTATTACAAAATAGAACCTGGCAACACCAGTTATACATTATAGAGCACTTGCCAACCTTTACAGACAAAGCACCTGCGCTAAGCAAGCAATAAATACTACCATCACATTAAGTGTCTCTCACCGCCGCACCGTACACATACACATATACATACATCCAATGTCTTCGCAGATATTTCAAATACATGATTTACTATCTATCACTAAGATTTTGTAGGTAATTATAAGTTAATGTGCAAATATGGATTCAGTTCTTACATACGCACGCACAGAGCAAGCAAGTATTCTAAGCAATAGACCGTTGGACAAAAAGACAGAATGCAATACTTACTCTGAAATTACTTAAAATATTGGTATATTTGTTAGGACAAATTAATAAACAGAGGGAATCATAGCATCTTGTCTTTTCTTCAACAGGACATTTCCATAGACTTCATTCTCTGTAACTTGCCCACTCTGTGCTAAATTTTTCTGGATACTTTCTAATCTGATCATAGATTTGATAAGAGCAAAAACTACTTAAAAATTCCAATATTGATATACCGCTCAAAGCTATTAATTGATTAAAATGCTAACAAAAGAACTTTTTTTGTTTAAGCGGTACACTGTCACTATCACTGTCTGAGAAACACGCTGCAAAACCACTTTTGTCTCTCAAAGAGTCCCTTCTTAAAGTTTTGTCTAGGGATTTTTTCACTTTACTTAGCAACGGAACTTTTTTATCGCTCTCACTTGTTGAGTCTTTGCTTAACTGACCACTCTTGTCCCTTCTACTCCGGAGACATCTGGTTGAAGAGTTATTTTGTCTTCTACCCCTCTTTATGGGGCTTGCCACATTTAACGCACTTGAGCTCAACTGCTCACTAGAATTATTTAAAACAGAGCATCCAGTCTCTGCAAAGTGCAATTTCACACCAATTTTTCTCCCACTTCTGGTCCTAGATGTAACTTTACCTTCTGAATTCTCTTTTCTATCAGAATCATTAAGTTTTGATTGACGAGTGCTATACCTTACAGTGGTTGTGGATACATTCATATTAGAGCAACTCTGCTCCACATTCGATACATTATTTTTGTGACGTTTTGGGTATCTTGAATTTCCACTGCTTTTTGACTGAAAGGAAACATTCAAATTGCCCTTTCCTCGCTTATCGCCTTTATTTGTTTTATCTAACTTAGAATCCATAAATTTAAGCACAGAAGTACTCTTATTAGTTTTGTTAGATTTATCATTGTCTTTTACAGTAACTAAGTTTAACACATTCTGAGAGGAATCTGTACTGCAGTTGAGCACAGTATCTGGTATTGCATTCACAGATTTATTAACACATACTACCATTTTATCTTCTGTTGATAAATTTTTTGCATCTTTAATAAGACTTCTACTGTTCCTATTTCTTAATTTCCTTGGTGTTTTTGAAGAATGAATTTTAGTAGACCTAATATAGTTTGCTGTGAAGCCTGACACATCACTTAAATCCTCAAACTGCCCGTTAAGTACATTTTTCTTTTTATCAGGTATTTTACTTTTGTTTTGATCACTTTTATTTGTATCAATATGATTTACAGTGGCCAACAGCTCTGGCTCTCGTTCAATGTCTTCTTCAATCTCGCCTTTCCCATTAACTATGCTAGCATTAAATACATCAAAAGAGTTATTCAGTTGGCTATTATTATTGTTTTGTTGAGCTTTCCTCAAGCTTCGTCTTAAATTTGTGACTTTAGGTGTAGATGTTACTAGTTTATTTTTCTTTTGTGATGTTTGACAATTTCTTTGTAATTTCATTCTCTTTGAAGTGTTTTGAGGAGAGTTTTTAATATTAAAATCGATATTTGATGCAATATCAGATTTACAACTGCTCTGTGCAGGCTTTTGATTTTGCGGACTTTCAAAGTAGATGTTTGGTTGCTTCTCAGATGATGAGTCATCGTCTAACAATTTTAGCTTCCTTTTCTTCTTCTTCGGTGAAGGCACCTCCTCACAAGGACTCTGAACACTCACCTGTTTAGTTTTAGAGCAATGGGCTTGTTCAACCTGTCTTTTGACATCATTGTCATAGTGAAAGAGACAGGGTGCCCTTTTAGTGTAAACCCAGTATGATATTTCATCCATGTTGTTCATAAAGGGAGAGTCTGGCTTGAAGTTGGTTGAGATTGGTTCGGGTGGGCAATGCGGGACCAAATTGACGCGCATTGGTAACGGATGAGCTGCGTTAGACACTGCAGAGGGGAACGCCAGCTGCAAGCCGCCCTCACAACCAGGTCGGCACTTCCGTTTGACTCCACGGCGAATCGTCTCAGATAATTTACGGTCTCGCCCATTTTTATCACATTCCATACACCTAGAACAGTACAAAATCGATTTTTATGTAATAACCTAAGAAAATGCACTAGTAATAAATAATAAATTAGTTATAATAATAAATGTTTAAATAATTGTATTTTTTAAGTTTTTAAAAGTAAATCTTGCAAATGTGCAATACTGCATCTACATATATCCTACATAAATCCGTCTACCGATTGCAACACTATATTATGACGCCGTATCGGTATGAACGTATGAAGCTGTTTTAGAGCAAATTATTAAAATATTCTTACTTTTCCTGGAATCTGTTACAAATAAATCACAATTTACACGTTTCTAACGTCATAAAGTTGGTATATTTTAGATTTTTCAACGAACACTTTTTAAAACATAAGACTAAAAGTAAATGGGTCAAAAAGAATTGTATTTTTTGTAATTTATTTACTTCCAATAGTTGCACGCGAAACCTCAACTGCTATATAAAAATTTTTTTAGAAAGGAACACTTTTTAAATTGGATTTAGATTAATATTATACAAGTTATAAAACTTAAAAAGAAACATTATTACAGCACTCATTTGCAGCGAAGCAAGCTTTACAGATAAAATATATAAATTATAGAATAACTTAGTGTAGATTATTAATACTGGCACAAGCAATAATAAATTTAAACCACATATTAAATATATTTTTTTATTAATTATGTCCTATTTAAATTATATATTTTTATTAATTTTGTCCTATTTTATGCTTTAACAAAAGAATTATGTACTTATGAGTTATGTCTGAGATCAAGAAGCGACTCGAAAAGTCTGTATTATATAGTCTGTGTTACAGTTTGAGTTAATATTCACTGTCAATATATTGAAAATTGCGGGTAAAATCGGTTTACAGATTGATAATTGCATCGGTAATGTTGAATTGTTTAACTAAAAATGAACGATATTCAAAGTATAATTGACCGTCAACTAGGAATATGTAAGTAATTTAGTGTTTTAAAAAAAATATACACCAGTCGAGATTTACAATAACATTGCATGGTTGTTTCTAGATTCTCGATTCAACTACGATAATGTGCTGAAAAGATTGGCCGTACATAATGAGGAGTCCTTCTATGGGTTGCAAAATACTACATTGGCAGCGAACTTCGAGCAGGATCCACCTATATTTGCTTGTCGATTTTCAGAAGCTCCAGGCTACGAGCATATCCTTGCTCTAGCTAATGAGGATGGACGTGTTGCAATTCAGGTATTAAAACTTAAATCTTAAGAATACGTAGTAAGTGCTGCGTCCAGCAAATTGTTCTCTGGACTCAATGATATCCATACTTCCATACTTAATATTATAAATGTGAAAATATGTTTGTTTGTTTGTCCTTCTTTCACGTCGAAATGGAATGACGGATTGACATGATTTTTTATGTGTAGATGGTTGGAGATTATTTAATTCCCATGGGAATATATGTTATAATACAATCCAAATAAATATTAATGATCAGAATTACTCAAAACTTGGTATTAATGCTTTTCAATGAAATTAAATAAATACGTGTTTTAGCATTTTTTGAAATTTAAAGGGCGTAAAATAGGGTATAAAAGTTTTTATTTTTAGAGATTTTTTGTAGTTTTAGTGCGAGGGAAGCCATGGGTTCTGCTGGTATGTATATAAATATTTTCTATCTAGTTCATCTATCTAACTTGTCATCAGATATGATCACTATTCAAGGCATAATATTATAAAGATATGATCATAGTTACATCAGGATAATGTTATACAAAACAAATATGTTATGTATTTCTATTCAGGTACTTTGTATTTTTTTTAATTTTATTTTTCATTATCCCTAAAATCACATTCAAAACTGAACTGCAAAATATAGGATAAAATATATGATATTTTACTGTAATTACTCAATTAGTGCAATGTTTGAAAGTAATGAAGTCCTGCCATTCATTTGTTGGGAAATCCATTTACACATACCACCTGTATACATACAGGTGGTTATTTAGGCCTCACTGGCTAGGAAAGCCAGTACTACCCACTAAAATGCAACAGAGCCTTCCCCGTTTTAATCTGGCGTCGCAGAATCTCTTGCGCACAACAGCACACAAGGGTAGCTCCCACGGTCTATTCTGCTATCGGAGAAGTACCAGGAGCAAGCCATGTGGTATACCGTCCGCCGAAATGGGCCACCTCCCTATGTCTCATGGCTTCGCGCCCGGCTGTGTTGCCGGACGCTAATTAGCTCTCGCACGAAATAAAAAGCATACACCTGAATTGAATAGCTCCTCGTTTTTCAAGTCAGACAAAAGAAACTGCATAACCTATTTTAATAGTATAAATGAGTAGGCGAGATTAATGTATCATTATAGCAGTTTAGACATATGAGTGTATTTCACAATTTAATTAGTGGGGATGTTATGGACATGAAATTTCAAATCTGGACTTTTATATTACATTCAGTTTTTGTTTCAGACACATTTTTATTTCGGTTATCCGATAGTTTCGGTTATGGAGCTCCATAACATTCTTAATAATTACATAATTTCAGGATACATCAAGTGTGAAGAAGGCAAGTGCAGTGGAGGGGTTCCAGTGCCACAACAATGCAGTGTTTGACCTTGCTTGGATGCCACAGCATATGAACTTTGTTACTGTTTCTGGTGAGTCTATTATTATAGAAACATTTTTCAGGCAGTTTTCTGTTATATTTTTATAATTAATGTAATTCATAGTAATTGAATATTATACCTTGTTTTTACTTAATTAACTAATTTTTCAACTGCATAGATAATAACAAAACAAAGCAGTTGTACTTGCATATGATTTGTCTGCTGGAATTCGTGAAGTTTTTTTTCTGAAGATCTTTGTTAACTTTGATCTTATCTCTAAGAAATAACCTTGTAATTATTTCAATTTCTAGGGGACCACACAGCAAGCCTATGGGATGTCACCGAATCTTCCCCAAAAAGAGTTCTGACCTTCTCAAACCACACGCGATCCGTTAAAACAGCAGTCTTCAGACCAACAGAGCCCTCAGTGTTTGCTACCGGGGCCAGAGATGGACATATTTTAATTTGGGACATTCGCGCAAACAATCAACCAGCAGTTGTTCTAAAGCCTGACAACTGTCTGATGAGCTGCCATTCCTCCTTCACACCGAAAACTCCTGGCTCCAGCAGCAAGCGACCTAGGCTAGACAACCACAGAGCTATCAGTATCACTGGACTCGTTTTTCAAGATGATTTAACGTTAATATCTTGTGGGGAATGTGACGGCAACATCAAAGTGTGGGACATGCGTAAAAACTACAACATATACAAGCGTGAACCTCTCCCCAAACATTCTATTCCGTATTGCGGTAGTTCTACCAAAAACGGTTACACAAATCTAATCATAGATGACGCCAGGGTTCGACTGTACGCCAGTTGCATGGACAACGTCATCTACTGCTTCAACATATCTACATACAACTCTTTACCGGAGCAAAGATATATCGGTCACGAAAATAGCACTTTCTATATAAAAACCAGCCTCAGTCCGGACTGCATGTACCTAGTCAGCGGCAGTAGCGACAAGAACGCGTACATTTGGAACGTTAAATATTCCCAACCGATCGTGAAGTTGACTGGACATTGGGCGGAGGTGACGTGCGCCGCGTGGTGCCAGAAGGGGGACACGAAGATCGTGACCTGCAGCGACGACGCCAGGCACAAGATCTGGAGGATCGGTCGGGAGTTCCCCGAGCCAGATGTGGAGCTGAAGGGCAAGGCGGAGGTGGTCCCGCGCGCCGACGTCACGGGCCTGCCTCAATGGGGAGGACTCGATAGAACGCCAAACTCCCTGAAGCGGAAAGTACACACCACACCAAGCTCTTACAGCGCTAAACGAGTCCGATCTCAAGAAAATACAGAGAAGAGAACCAAAAGATGTCTCGCTGACCTCATGAACGCGTCAAAAGAAGCAGACGAAGCGGAATCTCTAGTTAAAAGACTCAAATTAGAGATGCCTTCCATTCCAGAAGACGACGAAACAAAACTGCTACCAGCTGGTATTAAGAGGTCAAGGCATTCTACAGAACAGACAGCATCGTGCAAAAAGAAATGTGTAGAACAAGAACCTACAAACGATTGGACTTACTACAGTCCGAAGCCCGGTACATCGTTCATGACGCCAACTAAAAATTATGAGAAGAAAAACTGCAAAATGCTCTCACCTAAAAGTCCTAAAACCATATCACCTACAAACAGAACCCCCACAAAGGTATCTCCTAGCAAAATAAGGGTCATAAATTTCACCACTGCCACCATGAATTTGCCAAATTTTGTGTTAGACGGGGAAGCCCCCCATTTAAGACTAATGTCGCCAGTTAAAAAAAAGCAGGACACAACGAACTGGCTTACCCTCATGGTACGCGAGAAAAAGGGCAAGGCCACAGATACGGATAAAGTAAATTCGCCATCGAGTCCGAAAAACAATGTGCCACCCAGAAGAAATTCAGTCACGGAGAGAACGCCGAAGTCAAACAAAACAAGAACTTTATTTAAATATTTCAATGTTGCTACTAAAGATAAATAGGAAGTGAACATACTAGGTGTTATTTTAATGAAATGGTACTCGATAGATTTTATTTCTTTTTAGAACACTCAGACACTACATGGCTTTTACACATGTTCATACATTTTTTTCTTGAATTAAAAAGTATGGAAAGAATTTTTAACATCATAAGTGAGAGTTAACAAGAATATTTTTTAATTATATTTATTAAGGAAATCTATCGCGCTTATATAAACTATAACAAAATGCAGGTTAGAATTAAAAAATATTTGTTTTTTTTTTTATTTAGGAACTTCATATTTCAAGTGAAAGCTTGGTACATTAGACCCTACACTATATTACAATCAATTTTTTCAATTTTTTTACTATGTTTGACCGACTTTAAAAGGGAGAAACTACTCAATCGTTTGTATGTTTTTTTTAATCGACTGATACTCAAATTGTTTAAGCTATCTAGTAAATATATATATTTCCTAATGTCAATAATCATGGACTATAGCAAATAGCAATATTAAAGGCAAAAATTTATTATATAATTTTGTTCGCTGTTGCCTGTTGTTTTTTCTGCTGAGGTAACTATTACTTATAATGTCGTTACAAAAGCCAATTATCACTCACCATCTTCAAGTAAATCTTATGAAAATTGGTACTATTTACAAGTGCTGAATTTAAAATATAATATATACATTGTATGTTTCTGTAATTAGTACAAAATATGATAATGTTTCCAATTATTATAAACAAAAATAACGTGGATCCATTTTTTAGATACATAATTTCGTAGTCATATTAGATTTTAATATTAGTTTTAAGACTAATTTGATATAATATGTGTCTGTATATTCATGTCTTATAAAGAACATTTGGAAAGTGGAAAAAGAATTTAAATATATACAAAAAACAATGAATTATAATTACCTCAATACTAATAATAGTAATACAATAAACCCCACCGACCGTTGTACAGTGTATGAAGGATGAACCAACAAACACACAATTATTTATATTTATTATAGTAAGGAAGCAAAATTAATAATAATTATGTATAACTTTAGCCACAGTAGTGTCAATCTATCAAGCGGTGCCTCCTAAGAAATCTTTTTTATAGACTGATGTATTTTACGATTTAATGTTACTATTATTATTAAGTTAAACTCGAATTTCTCCAGTAATATGGGCTATCCTACATATTACCATAAAATTACAATATTTTTGAAACAAATCTTTGAATTGTCTTGTATGTGAATAAATTGTGTTTAAAAAATGTATTTTATATTTGTGTTTTATTTTAATCCCTTTTAAACTTGTAGGTAACTCGCATTCGATTTTTAATGGAATATTAGATACATATTTTTACCCAACTGCGCGACGCAAAGGAGGGTAATGTGTTTATCAGCCTTATGTACATATGTATGTGGGTTTGTACCTTTGTGTTACTATTTAGACCAAACGCGTGGGGCGATTTTGATAAATGACACGTCGTTTAATTTGTCATGAAGGCGCGAATGTGATAGAAAGCATAAAAATGTGGAAAAATCAAAATGGCAGAATTTTGACACCATAATGTAAAAAAGAAAAAATGAAAATCGAAGAACTATGTCATGTGGGGTATCGTTGAATAGGTATTTAAAAATCGTTTTTAGGTTTCTTTCATCATTTTTCATTTTAAATAACAGTTTAGGATATATAATGGTGTAAAGTCGATTAACAACCATTCTCGCTGATTTTCCTACTTAAAAAGCTGTAAATAAATAAATATAATATAAAAATAACAAAGCCCTACTGATAAAAGCTAACTAAAAAGATGAAAACAAGTTCACGATGGAATATCGTATTATGCAGTCGGAGTCTACATACACGTTTCATCCTTGCCGCAACATGTTCTATGTAGTACTCGTATGTAACTCTTATGCAGTCGGGTTTTTTATTTTTATAAGATACTAGCGGACCCGACAGACGTTGTCCTGTCTACACGTCTTTAATTTGAAAATTTCAAACTTTTTTTAATAATTTTTTTGATGAAAATTATTATTCAAATTGTGAATCTAAACCATTCCCAGATCCCCTTGAACACACACAAAAAATTTCATCAAAATCGGTCCAGTCGTTTGAGAGAAGTTCAGTGACATACACACTCACAGAAGAATTATATATATAAAGATTTATTTAATTTCTCTTTTTATTAACAAAATACTACTTTATTTGACTAGCAACTTACCTCCGCTTCGTTCTGGTGGGTTCCTGAGTACGTTTTAATTTTTTTTAAATAAAAGTAGCCTAAGTTAGGTACTGCCTGTAACATCAGCTATCTGCTAGTGTAAGTCCCGTCAAAATCGGTACAGCCGCTTCAGGGTTTAGCCGGAACAGGCAAACAATAATTTTAAAAATAATTTTTTTTCTTATTACCGTAATATGCATTTAGTAAAAAGCTGTTATTTTGATATTACAAATGGACGTTTCAATTTATTTCTATAGATTACAAATTAAACAATTGAGTAATTTAATGTTAATATAGGAATTTTAAAAAGATCAATTCAATGCGCCTTGAAAAGTTTTCTGTTTTAACTTTAAATTCATTGTTTTTAAGGAACTTATCACTACGTGATTACAGGCTGTGTGCTGAGTACGAGTTTCATATATTTTTTCCAGACATCACCAAAGTTAGTCGAGTGTGTCTAAATTCAGTATACATACTTATTGCTTTGTAAGTTTTTCATAATTTTATTATGCTAATAGCTCGTTCATTTTCTTACTCATCATTACTTACATTAAAACCCTGATAAACCTGCTCACATCATGTCGTGGTCAGAATTTAATTGTAGTTTTTTAGAATGTGAATGAATATTTTCTTAAGCTCAGCCGGATGAGAAAATAAGTTAGGAGTGCGTTTTCATAGATGGTATTGTTTGCTCTATGAGAACTTTAGATCTGTATACTTACGGATGCATCGGAATATATATTTATATTGTATATAGTATGTCTGTCCGACAAAACATCCATTACTATTCACGAAATAAATCCTAGTAATAAGGATAAACTGATGCCTAGCTTTCGTCCTCAAACAGTGAAGAGATCGTTCATGGGGCAAGGACAAGGTAAAAATGCATGTATAATAAAATTACATAATCGATATTCAATTTAGGTCTAAAGAATAAAATATATTATTGAATAAAACTTACATAATAATAAATAAATAACGACGACAAACTTAGGTCAGTTTGTAGTTACCCTACTTGGTGTGCCAGCAATCGTGGGTTCGAGTCCCGCTGGGGGTATCGTTTGTGTGATGAGCGCAAATGTACTCCACTCATTGATGTTTATTGAATGTTATATGTTTGTACTGTATAAACTATCTGGTATCTATAACGCAGGCCTCGTAGCTTACCATGGAACTAGATCGTGCTATGCGTTAAGTATTAACCAACATATTTATTTAATTACATCATCACGGAATACTTTTAGATGTCAATGTGTGAGACTAATGTCTGGTTGGATCTCACGTAGGAATTAGGATAAATAGATAATTATTGTATTGCAATAAAATTTAAAACAAATACTATTTTAAAAGAACAACTGTAGAGTTTCTCGTCGGCTCTTCTCAGCAAAACTACCTTCCACGCCGGTGGTAGAACTTTCCTCATGAACAAGTTACATATTGGCATAATTTAAATTTTAATAATGTAATAAATTAAGATTCAAAAGATGCTAGGTACTTGTAATCTTTATATATATAATTCTTCTGTGAGTGTGTATGTCACTGAACTTCTCTCAAACGACTGGACCGATTTTGATGAAATTTTTTGTGTGTGTTCAAGGGGATCTGGGAATGGTTTAGATTCACAATTTGAATAATAATTTTCATCAAAATGGTCCAGAATGTTTTAGCTTATTAAAAAAAGTTTGAAATTTTCAAATTAAAGACGTGTAGACAGGACAACGTCTGTCGGGTCCGCTAGTATTTGAATAAAGTATATTTTGATTTGATTTGCATTTTGGTGGAAATTTAGAGTCCCCATATAATCTTCTCGTATAATTGTGGGTAATATTGGTATCTGCACTAATAACAAAAATAGTATAATCAGCTGTTTCAAGTATATAGTTTGTTTTATAACAAATACCTATGATACAATAAAATCCTTAATGTTGTTTTCACATGATATAAGTTAAAAATTAGATTTTTACACAAAATATTCAATATGGGTAATTAGACCTGGATGGAGAAGCTTAGCTTCCACTTACTTGTAGTTTGAGACTTATGAGTCCAAGAAAAACATACAAAAAGTTCACTGAAATATCAAATAATTCTTATTTCAATTACCAACACACACAAATTTTCATATTAAATTAACTTCAAAATTGAGATTTAACATACGCCACCATTTTTTTACATCATTCTTCACCAATAATGAACTAATTTTTTTGAATCTTTTTACTGATTATCCAGTAGATTAATATAGTATTATTAATTATGTGATCTAGTGTCAATAGCTATATCTCGAAGAAGGTCCCATTTCTTACTGATACAAATCAGAAATTTCGCCTCTTAGATCAAGATAATATGAAGCAGATCTATTTAATTGTTACAAAATGATATGAACGGTAAATGAATAAAACAAGAATGAAGATGTGCCATTGCTCACTCTTTATTACGCTTGTTAATCAGTATATAAAACATAATATAAATCATTTGTAAATATCACCTTCGTGTTGCAACGTACATCACTGCAAGCCGCTCCGGTTGCGATCCACACTCGCAAGGGTTCGCTACAACTGCATACAAAAACTTAAATATTCTATTAAAAATAGGTATCCTTTAAATATCCCTCTGCAAGGGATCGAGTCGAGGTGTTAAGTAGCGAATATTGTATTAAAATCGGTTTAGTAAAAAGTAATATATTTTTATATGCAATTGTAGCTACAGGTGTGGAATAGTAAAAAAATTATCAAGTTTTATTGTTGGCTCGCAGTCATGCCCTCCGGACAGCGGACGCGCAACGAAACGAGCGGAAATAAAAACATAAAGTGACCACCGGCGTAACTGCGTACGGGCCGCGAGGACGACTGCATCCTCATATTTAAAATTAGTAATTACAAATTTTATTAAAATTTAGATAAAACTAAGATAAAATGTTATGATTTGCCTCTGATTAGAGTTGCCATTATAGTTAGTATAAACAGTATCTAATTAAAAGCTTATTAAGTTCTTGCGTAAATACGACCTTTTTACTAACAGAATATACATACATAGTTGCCGTTAGATGTTTCATTAGAAAAAAAAGATGAAAAGTAAATAGAAATGGCATTACAGTTATATAATATTAGAACGAGTAAGTTATGTTACATTTTACAACAAAATTTTAAGTGAAGAACTAAACAACAAAATTTTAAGTAAGAACTATTTGTTTCATTCCTTCTTAATTTTAGCTGATATCTCTTAACGAAGATGACTAACAATTTTCAAGACAACATCTAATATAATAACTAGTCTTCTAAGCTTAGGCAAAATAATGAAGAAATCGCCAATGTCACTGTCGTGATGTCAGCCTGTCAGCCGGAGCCCCCGCCGTCCGAGTTACGCCCGCGGTGATAACAAAAGAGTAGGCGCCGGGCGCCTCGCGTACAATTTGTTATACCTACTACATCTAAGACTGCACTTATACTACTTAACGCTATGTACATATTTATCCAAGCGATTTAAAAAAAGTCTTACTTTTATCGTATTAATTTGAAAATTTGTTAAATGTCTTTATCGTTAAATTCACTGTATCCACTCGCACCACATTTTTATTATATTTTTCGTTTTAATAACACAACAATAGTAACAGAATTAGCCCAGCTAAACAAACTACTAACATAAGTTACACCTAGGTACAACCGATATAGTATTGTACGGACGCGACCCGCGACAATACACACTCGCCGCCTTCCAACAGAAGGCGGCGCGTCGCGTCCATATCAATTGACATTTTAAAAATGATAAAAATATTTAGCATAATCTATTAAGGAATCACGCGCGACTCGACGGCCGGGAGCCCGCCGGGAGCCCGCCGGGAGCCCGCCGGGAGCCCGCCGGGAGCCCGCCGGGAGCCCGCCGCCCGAGCCGCGGCGCGAGTCGAGATCAAGTCGGGGCGAGCCTGTCCGCGGCCGCCCGGCGTCGGAGGAACCCGCTTTCGTGAAAAATCTCCAAAATCAGTCGCCGCTCCTACGCCGCGTCTCTCGGTAAATAAACGTATGTAACTATCGATGGCCTCGTTATCGCACACCCAGCTATCGTCTAAACGTCCGAAACTGATCGTGGTAATAATTTAAAGTATTCAAAACGAGTAAATATATCCAAAAACTACATTCGGTCGGCGAATGCGGCTCGCGCCGAGCGGCGAGCGCCGTCGCGTGTATATTTGTACTTTGATCATATTTGAGTGCAATTAAAGGAACTCGAACACCGCGGAGACCCGCCGAGTCGCTTTAATGATATGACGACGGATGTCTGTCCGGAGCGCCGCGCCCGCTCGGGCGAGCCGCGCCTGGGGACACTCTGTGCAAGCAAACACAAACAAACACTATTATAAATACACACCATTAAGAAAAAAATCATTCTTAAATTAATACGGATACTAGATTAGATATCCTGGGCAATATTATAGTTTACTGTTTAAGACTACATAGGCCATACAATAAAATCCTGTTCTGTCATAAATAAATCTACCTCATTTATAGCTCAGGCGCTCTCTAGCCGCGATATATTGACTTCACCATACTATTATTATACATATTACATAAATGTAACCAGACAATATACTGTAGACAATATATTGCAGCGCCGAAATTAATGTTAAATAAAATACGTACACACAAGTAAGCTCTGCGCTTAGAGCAATATTGTATTCAGCTTTTTTTAATGTCCCACTGTGGGAGATCAAGCCATAGTCAATTAACGTTAAGCAAACCCAGTCCAATGACATCTATTATCCGAAGAGAATATATTTAATATAATTTTTATAGATATAATTCAAAAAACCTGCACTGCTCAAAAGGCTTCATATTTTAACCACATGTTAATAAAATTCTGTCGGTATGTTCAATGCAAAGTTTGACATAAAAAAAAATTGTTTGTGTGTCGTTTTGAGAGATTCATCAGCGCTTTATTTCAATGAAAAGTACACACGTTTTGTGCTTTATCAATTTCATTCTCCTTTCTATGTAATTAATAACTAAAATATCTATAAATAGGGAAGTTTGTATGTTTGTAAGTTTGTTACTCCTTTGCTAGGAAACGGCTGGACGGGTTTGGATGTTGAGTACACAAATAGACTATAACCTCGGGTAATAGTAGTTCGATAAGAGTATATCCAATTAATATTATAAAAGCGAAAGTTTGTGGGTATGTATGGACGTATGTTTGTAAGTCTTTCACGCAAAATCTACTGAACGAATATAGATAAAACTTTACGATAATATAGCTAACACGTCAGAGAGACATGAACAATACGGGAAAATGCTAATACAGTATTAGTATATTGCGTACCCGGTCGGGGACGGTCAGGGCGGGCGCCATCACCAGCAGAAGACGGAGAGCTCGCCGCCGTGCGCCGCGCCCACCGCGCGCCACGAGCGCACGCCGCCGCCGCCCACCTTCAGCTGCAACACCATACACACATATACTTAACATTTTTTTTCTTAATATACTCAACAGTATTAATGTACAGATATCTTATACTTATATACAGGTCAATAGCGAATAAACCAATTTACGAAAATCTACCAATATCAGTAGTGGACTGTGTTCACGGAGCGTGCTCATACGAGTATCTATTAGATTCTAGCATACCATAGTTTCCACTACATACCTCGCAGTGGGAAGAGAGTCAATATTTAATTCATTCATTCGTTTAATTCCTAATAACAAAAATATATCTTAGGTTTTATTTAGTAACGATTAACAGTTAACATTTTACGAGGAAATAGTAATATTTACGAGTATATTTGCCATTTTAAGTAAAACTATATTTTCGTTTGTTTTTTCCCGGATTTAATTTCAGTTTTGGTTCCTGACGTCTCGAATGCTTTACAGCGATCATCGAGAGATACGGGGAGAGAGATACGTGACCATGGTTCCTAGTGATGAAAGTTTCCCAAAAAAATACCAGGATTAACAATGTTTTATCTAAAATGAATAAATTGTATTAATACTAAAACAAATCCTTTGATAATCTATTAATAATGATTCATATGTGGTCGATAGTGCGTGACGCTCTAGTGCGTAGGTTATATATAGGAAATAGAACATGAATGAAATTCAAATAAAAATAGTTACAATTGATTAGAAACAATAAATTAGCCTGACCCTATGTAACAGGTATGTTTGTGCAGAGATGGTACCGTGTGTGTGCAGGGTGCAATGTTTATAGTGCAGGAGAGTAAAAGCTGAGCACAGGCGACGGGCGACGTCTTTCTCAATCAAGTCCGGCCATTGAGTGGTGGGAGTCAATGGCGGTGCGCGCGCAACAAAGCGGAGTGGAGTTTTTGTGACGCCGCCGTTCAATGCATTATTTATAATAATTCGATGGCTCACCATTACAAGGTTCTATGTTAGTTTTAATGAAGTTTAGTAATTTTTACATAGAACCTCGTTATTTTGTTATCGTAAAAAAAAAACAACATAGAACTATGTAAAATTGAATATTTTGTAGTTATAGTGCCGCTATCTAGTGGTTAGTTTTTGCAAAACTGTAGCTAATGACACACAGAAATAAGTACTAAAATTATAACATAGAACCTTGTAATAGTGAGCCAACGATTATATGTTCATCAGCCCCGGCTCGTGGCTCGTGGCCCACTAACTAACTTAACGATTTTAAAGTAACTCATAACTGCATTGTGTCCTTGTACATATGCGATATACGCTTTCCGTGTATATTAGTTCCAATATTATTTTAAGCAAATGAAAGACAAAATTTATGAAAATTAGAACATATATAAATGTCTTAACACAAATACAATAACATTAGAGATTCCCATGTAATCTATTGAGTTTGAGTACCTTCCCAAATCTCAAATGACGTAGCCTTAAAGAAATTACGTTTCATCATAACATTAAATAGTATTTTCTTATTTACTTAATATTTTAATATGTTTTCATCATCATACATCATCGACACTCGTAGTAGGGGACAGCAGTGAGTTCATTTGCACAGTATAATGGAAGTTTAATGCAGCGCAAAACTGCGTGCCGTAGAAGGGGCTGTGTCTATTGCATCATTCTTAATTACTTTACGTCCGTCGGTCTATACTAGCGATGATGACCGAGTACTTCTGACATATGAATATGGAAGATATATAGAAAAAACGCAAGTTTATCCATTTCAGGATGTAGGCTACAATAACAATGCTAATGGCGTACGCCGCTATTACGGTCTTAAAACAGCTGATGTTACCTTAGCTTTGTGAAGTAGACTTTATACTACAGAACTATATGATAAATTCAATTTATTAATTTATATATTTATTATTAACCCCCGAAGCAAAAAAGAGGGGTGTTATAAATTTAACGTGTGTATCTGTGCATCTGTGTGTCTATCTGTGGCATCGTAGCGCCCTAACGGATGAACCGATTTTTAAAACCGGCTCAATGAAAAGGTAATTTTGTTGGGGGTGTTTTTTAAATTTTCAGTATATCTAATAAATTATATCACTAGACATGATATTTGTTACTGAAAAAAATTTTTTTTACATATAAGTCAAAGCATTAAAGATTATTTTTACCATGATATTTTAATACTAGCTACTCACCCTCGCTTCGCTCGGGTTCGTCTCCAGCTTGTTTCCAAATACAAACTTTCATCCCCGTCTTCACCCCCTTAAGGGATGATTTCCGGGATAAAAAGTACCCTATGTCCTTCCCATGGTCTCAAACTATCTTCTTATCAAATTTCATCTTAATCGGTTCAGTAGATCCAGATATTACCCCCGACAACGTCACAAACTCACAAACTTTACCTACCTCTTTCTAATATTAGTTAGTATAGACTAAACTCTTAGAGGTATGACGATATAGAGACGATAGAGCAAGATGTACGAGCATTTATGTATCGGATGCTTGTTTCAATATACGAGTCGTGCAAAATTAGGCGTTTCGCCATAACAGTGTTCTTTAATTGGCAGCTTATTACCGACGTATTGTTTTATTATTATAATATTTTTTGCAAGCGTCGACTCATCGATCATTCTGTTCGTTAAGTTTTAACACGCTGTCAGCTTGATTTCATTTACAAAACCCATACGGCCATTTTATTGAGATTTGGGCAAAAAAAAGGAACAGCTACATGTAACTAATTATAATACTTAATGTACTTATATGTGTAGTTTTCTTTAAATCTTGTCTTAAGATCAACCTTAAGTGTTCACTGTAAGAAGTTATCAAGGCAATATGAGTATATGCGGGATACGTTCACTGATATATTATGTATAGTAAAACATACAGGTAATAAAAGAAAGTTTTAGTTTGTTACCGAAAATTATTTATAAAATATACTGGACGAATTAAAGATTATAAGAAGAATGTAAGAACCCTACAGTAGGCTGGTGTTTTCTTATCAAAAACTATGAGAAGGATAAATCTAACACCTGAATCTGTCTGTGGATGATGTCATAGATTGTATTGCAGTTTTATGTATTTAAAAGCTAGTTTAAGTTTTTGTTGTCAACATGAACTATGCTTAAGTGAAACGATTAAAGAGTTTAAAAGACGTGAAGCTCGCAACGTGCAAAGTGTCCTTCTGTCCGCACGCCGCGGTCAGTGACCCGCGATAAGGAATAATATCTGAAACGCCCGTAAGTTCCGTATCCAATCACGCTTTTCCTGAACACCATGCCTGGATACTTTCATAAAAAATGTCCTAGTTAAATATATCTATTAAACAATTCGAATAGGAAGTCCCTACAGATACCTAATCAAATATTTTCGAACACGGTGCCAGCCGACAATGCTTTAAGATATGAATATCTAACAGGTAAATATGATTAGGTATGAACTCTAATTATGGTTAAAATATATACATCCATTTGTGATGTAGGCTTGGCTTAAATTTGTATCGGCTGTGATACAACGCAAAACAGGTAGGTATATATGTATAATACGCGGTCGAAGAGACACGATAATTATGTATAACATTACCATGGTAGGGATCCCTTGCTGGGTGCGCGAATTTGATTTGCACTTGAACGATTTCTTTAAATTTTTAAGGTATAATTATTTAAAAAGGGCAGTCAGTGGTAGCTCAATGGTAACACGCTCGCTTGAGAAACCTAGTAAAGCAGGTTCATATCCTAGGTCTCGCATCTCTGATATTTTCATGTACAATTATCATTTTCAACATGATTACCACTTGTCTTGCGGTGAAGGAAAACATCGTGAAGTCTGCCAATCCGCATATGGTCAGCGTTAAGGACTATGGCTTGATCCTGACTAAAGCGAGGCCCGTGCCCAGCTGTAGGATGTTAAAATGGTCAAGATACAATAGTTATTTAATAAAATAAAAGGAATAAAAGCAGTTTGAACACAACAAGTAATTAACAAGCTTTCACGTTAGCCGTAATTATGTTCAATGCAAATTGCAACAATCGTCCGCCATTAGACGCATGCCCGACTACTTGATGCATTTCAATTCGCAATAACACGTTGATTTTTGCATCTGAGGCGGATGTATTGCGAATATTAACTTTACGGTTGAATATAAACAGCATAAGTTCCATTCGATAAGTAAAACAACCATTTTTAAATAGTTTTTATTTTTTTCTAACTTTTCTTCCTTTAAGTCTTATTCTAATTCTTTAGCAATAATAAGTTTTTTTTTTCAAATTAGACGTTTTGAATGAATACAAAAAAGTCGCGAATTATATTTTTAACTATGCCTTTTAATTTATATATACGTCGCTAGGTACGGTTTAAATACTTAGATATAAATAGTCATCAAAATCAGTCCAGCCGTTCTCGAGTTTTAAGTGTTGTAACAAACCCGAATTTGTTTTATAGGTATATAGATTTGTGACAAATCAACGTATAGTATCACTTAATAAAAATTATAATGATAGCTGATTAGATATAAGATCTCATAGAAGTTTGTACATATATTTCCAGTTAGACAAAGACATGCAAGTGCTGCATACTCGCACAGTGTACACTTGTAGCGAACTCGTAAATTACATCGATATTATTGATACCACCCCGTTTCCCGCAGCACCTCGCATCTGATAAGCGATTCATTTACGACGGAATTACTATTTATCTTCATTCCATTACTGTGAACTTTTTTTACAGTACCTAGAGCATAACTGTACTATGGAAAAGTATCGAACTGCTATTTTAACCGACTTTAGAAAGAAGGAAGTTGTATGTTTAAGTTATGTGCTTTTTATATGTCTTTCCGTATTAGCGCATAACTTATTTCGTAACTTAAACTTCGTAACAGACCGACCTCTGTATATTTACATTCTCCAAAATTATTTTTTAAACAACTAATGAAAGCAAAACATATGTTAGATACCCTAAAAACAAGCACACTACAGACTTATTGGCCGAAAGTTTAATAAGTTGAGTTTATTATCAGTACATTTTAGTCTAAAATAATCGTTGTGATGTAGGTCCATACTTTTTCCATACATTTAACATTTTCATACTATGAACCTTACATTATCGGCCGATATAAAATCTATAGTGTGCAGACTGTAAAGCGTCCCGATTAACATCCTCTCAATCACTTTCCACCGTCAGACCCCTGCGATATCAATATGTAGACACTGCACGTGATTAAAGAGCGCGATAATTCGTCGTGTGGGTTAAAAACATAACACACGCTGACATGTGTGCTAACGTCTGCCTAGGACCCTAGGGCTACGCTCATTAATTATAGGTATAATTAGTCTATAATATATATATTATAATTTATAAATTATATTATAAAATTTTATAGACAACACTACTTTTATATAAATGAAAACCTTAAAATATCTAAAGTGATGGGTTCACAAGTACATCCAATACATAATTATAAATATCAAGTTAGTAAAGTTATATTTTTCTATTAGAAGACTACATGAAAATCGGTTATCTGCACTAAGAAAATATATGTATGTATATTGTATTCATATATTGCTAATATAGAAATAGGGCCAGTGTATTAATTCTTCTTTCTTTAAAAATTACCATTTTTTAATTAATATTATTGTATACTTTCACACATTTTGGTCTTCATGTATAGTTAAAGTGGTTATCCTGCATATGTATGACATTTGTAAGCTTATAATATTCTTAACACTAATGTTGCATATAATCCAGTTCTAGTCACATATAATGATCGCGTTCAAACATACTGTTAACATTTAAATTAAAAGAATAAGAAAAAAATCTTACAAAAAAACCTTTTTTTTAAATAAAAAGGTTTTTTTGTTTAAGTATTTTTTTTTTTTAGTTATTTTTAAATGAATTTCTCGATTACTGCCTCACTTCCAATAAATTAGGGCATAAAAATTTAACTTAATGCGTATAACTTCTAATTTTCATTTCTTTTACCTCCTATGATCTTTGCACGTAACAACAGATCGTGAACTTTTGAAAATATAAAGATATAATGAATTATTTAAATAATTTAATACTTATTAGTATCCTTGTGTACTTTAATTAATATACTCGTAAGTATACCGACAGGTTTTTATAGTTGTTTATAAAAATTAGGCAGTCGTTGCAAACTGTGCAGTATCCCTCTGAAATATTAAGAAGCCTACAACGGACTAAAAAATTAACCAGAAGCTAATTAACAGACATTTTCCCATACTCGGTGAAATGTAACTTTTTTCCAACAAGTAAAAAACCGTATAAAAATTGAACAAAAAGGCACGAAGTATCAGATTTAGTGCGAACCCTGCGCGCTGCGTGGGAACGTGCATGTGGGCTCATTATGCGGCATCATGCACACTTGTGCACCGCCGCCGCCCTCCGCCCCCGCCCGCCCCCGCCCGCCCCCGCCCGCCCCCTGCCATCGAATTAACTTACGCTTATTAATTTTTTAAGTCGTCTGAAATATTACTTTCAGTTAATTAACGCAAAGTACACATTGTAAGATAGTTTTAATTTAGTTTTAGTTCCGCCACATCAACGGAACGCGAGGGGCGCTAGTTAAAAACGCAAACTTGGGGATCTAGAAGGGTTTGTTTCTCAATATTTGTATTAAAAATATATATATATATATATATATATATATATATATATATATATATATATATATATATAAGTAGATAGTGAGTGAAGTTAAGGGTTGTACAAAGTATCTTATAAATTATAATGCTTTATCGTTTATTTTACAACTTATCTTTAAATTAAAGCTAAATAATTTGTGTTTTCGTTTACGAGACGCTACTTATTCACCACGAAAACATCTAAATGCCTGCACATATGTACATATCTTCACACCGTGCAGAATGGCAGAATCAAGCGTAACATTTGTCTAAAATAGAGATCTTTTAAATATTCAATATTTTGATTTTTCAATTTAATATTTTTAAATATGTCACATATTTCAAAGTACTTTGTTACAGCAACACCAAGCTGCACTTGCGCGCCCTCGCCACCCGCCGCCGCCACCCCTCCCGTAGCCATCAAGAATTAACTTTACATACGCTTATTAATTTTTTGGTTTAAAGTGTTTGAACAATTTTTCACTTAATTAACGTATACGCTATAAAACTTTGAGACACCTCTTATATTTTTGGTTTTACAAAAATGTTAATGTGATATTTGTGTTTGTATGTAGGCTCATTGATTGAATTAACTTCATTAGGTTAAATTTAAAACGATACATTACTAAACAAAAAAAACTTGTGTCAATAAAATACGATACAGGTACTTATTGCAGAATAATATTGGCGGGAGTGCACTCTAGCAGTCAGCACTCCACACGTGCAGTGTAAAGGTGAGGCTCGCTCACGTGTTTGAAAATTATCTTTTATTACGGAACTGCCGAGAGTGTGCGCGTACATCCTCTATGTAATGTTTCTATATTTAACCTTGCATCCCATGTTCTCACTTATAAATAAAATAATACCCATATTAGTATGCGCCTACATTAGTCATTCGATAATTTAGAACGCTACAGAGCTTTAGCGTGTATTATATCATATTGTATTGTAATTTAATCAAAATATTATATTTCACAATTCTACATTTTTTAATATTATTGACAGGTTTATATTGAAATATTTACATTCTTTTCGAAATGAAGACTAAGGAAACCGACACGTGAGTGCGATTTAGAAGAATTCATCTATTAAAATAATAAGAATATATATTAAGAATATATATATTAGTGTATTAGTAATAATAATAATAATAAAGTAATCTGTTTTTCATAATACTTTCTTATAAATAATCTGTTTTTATCATAATTCATAAGCTCAAATAATAGTAATTTATGTACAAGAAGCGGTCGGCTGTGCAGTGTGCAACTCATGGTGTATTTACCGCTCACTCCTTCGACACACTTAATTATTTTGTTTAAACAATATAATGAAAAGCATACGAGATAAGAGGTTATTACACGAAATGTCGATTTTATTAACCGACTTCCAAAAAGGCGGAGGTTCTATTTTACAAATTTAAAATCTTTTAATTAACAAATTGAAATTAATCATGTATCTCATAAGATAAAACATGTACAGGTAGGTATGTTCACGACGTTATCTAGCAATGTTTTTACGTGATTTTTTTATTCGATGAGGCTCTCGTGGTAGGTGTTTTGACACATCCGTCGGATGTGAGTGACATGTCCAATAATTATTAATAATTAACAGCCTGTTGAGGTGTAAGAAAATATTATTATATGTTTCAAGATACATATTAGGACTCTGAAGGAACGTAATACTTAAAATACATTCTTACTTGTGTATAGATATTTTGATAATCGCGAACCCGGCATGATGTGTGCATAGAAGGTAATGATAATATTTAGGATAACAATTCCAGATCTAATCCACTTCATGGTTTATGTTGCGCACTTTGTTTTGGTAGGGAATAGGGTGTAATCCAGTATGGCGAGGGGCGGCGTAAGCTTCATCGAAAATTTAATAGCTTTTTATTATTATCACTACTCTATTGACAATTTTGTAATAGATTTTTTACAAAACGAGTAAATAAAGTTTAACTTTTTAGTTTCGCTTTTTTAATAGGTACAAGGGGCGTACTGCGTACAAGAGAAGGCACGGTAATTTTTTTAAGGCTGAGAGCGCCAAATTTTGAAATACACTATTGCTTGTGACAGTTACAGCATTGTCTGGTAATCTAAAGTCGTCCAACGGAGTCTAGACAGGGCAATCGTGCGGGGCGTGTGGGACGAGACGCGGGCAAAGCGCACCCGACCGTCATACTTACTTTTATATGACAGTTGGGCAATGGATTTATATTTTAAGGTTGACAAGTATAACTGTAACTTGCCTCTTGTAAAGATGGCTGTACAGCTTTTTAATTTAAAAAACGCTCGCTATAAAAATTGGTATTTTTGGACAACCCTTTGCAGTTTTACTTTGCATTTGACAGCAGTTCCGTTAAAATCAATGGCATAGTTGAATACTGTATGGATTTTTATACTGTGTTTTTTTTCCTCTCTTTAGTACCTAGTTGTTAACAAATGCTTTCTGAGAGGAGTCAGGAGGCTAATTTTACAGGGCTGATCTAATTTGAGCTCTTGTCATATATGAAATAAAATCGAATATTTTTCATAGTCATCAGAAATATCAGAATAAATATCTTGAATATAGACATCACACTAACTAAACGGAGAGATCATATTTTTTCCCTAACGCGTCATAAGAAGTATAACTTCAAAAATCTGTTGTTACAGTGATGGTGTGGTCTAGGTACCTGTTGCATCTTATCGAAGTCGAGCGCGGGTCGGTGGCGGCGCGGCGGCGGCAGCGGGCAGCGGCGGCGGCGCGGCGACGCGGGCTTGCCGGCGCACGCGCACTCTCCCGCGCGCCGCGGCTTCAACGCCTCCAGCGGTGGCGACGTGCGGAAACGCACAGGCGTCTCGATCTGAAATTGGTGGTTACATTGCCTTCAATGTAGTGGAATGAGGATTCGTGATCTACGTACTAGCTTTATTCGCATTACAGATTAAGTTCAATCAAGACATAAGAGTTATATACTCTAGGGTAGGACCAAACAAGCTCAAGCCGCAGGCGATCGTGACAAAATGTCAGCGGAACAAAGTAAAAGCTATGCAACTAGGTATGGAACGTCTATGAAAATATACTAATGGCAAAATGTGCATTTGCAAAATTAGAATGTTGTTGCCATTCATCTTATTGTACATAAACCAGTAAAGAGTAACATTTTAAATAATAGTGTCTACAAAAGTACAAAGGGCATGGATGAGTGTCATGTCGTTTATATATTACATATATGTATGTATAATTGTACGTACAGTGTGTTCCTGAAGTGGACGATTAGCCCATGCGATGTAATGAAGTTAGATGGCGAACCTTGGTATCATCGTCGTCAGAAGAGGGCGCTCTTGTAGCGGTCTCGTCGTCTAAATAGGGCTCCGCTGGCCACCGACGCTTCTCTGGCGCCGTGCGAGCCGGGGACGACGCACCCCTCCGCCGGCCTTCGCCCCGCGACGTCACGGTGGACGGGCCCGCAGGACTTCCATTGATGACCTGCACCAGTCTCCCGTCACTTCTCATTTCTGCCCGTGTCGTGATCATTGCGTGACGCGTGGCACATGCGACATGGAGTTAAAATGCAACTGATCCTTCTGTTTTCTTTGCAAGTTTGATAAGTCAAACTTACAGAGAAGAAAAGTGCTATATTGCGCTTTGAAATAAAATTAGGTAAACTATGTACCATATGTATGTGTATTGTCGATCAGGTTGCATTTTAATTGATTATATTAGTACATGCAATTGAAATAAGACGTTTTAATAATATTTCAACCATCCAAATACAAAGTGTGAGAGACTAAGAAGAACAAGTCTAGAGAGCGAAGCGGAAGCTTGTAACGGAACGCTGTCCAACAAAAAAATGATCCCACAAGTCGATGCAATGTTGTCGTGAATGGTTCGAGGGGGCGAGAGGGGAGGCAAGGAAAGCGGTAGTTAGGCGGGCGCGGGCGCGCAGTCCGCGACGTCTTCGCTGAATATTTCAGCACGTAATTGCAGAACTCGCAAAACTCGTCCATCAAAGCGTCGCGTCATTACACGGCTGAATTAATGGCGCCATCCCCTCTCGCCCCTCTCTACCCCGAGTCCTCTTCCACAACACCCCCAAGAAAAAAACAGTTTTAAATAGCTGGAAATACGGCCTAATGCTGCGGTCGGCCGCTCATTTATTATGGATGAAGTCCACGTGAAAAAAACCACATAGCCTTTGCATCCGAGGGATGGGGTTTAATGGAATCGCATAAATTACTGCGCGATTATGGGCGCTTAACTGCTGATAAAGCTGATAAAACCTTTCTCGATCACGTGCTTTAACGATTACGATGACGTTTACTACGCATCGCTCGCTTCACCGTATCGTAAGCGTTTTATGGTTAACGTATATCTTTTACAAAGTTACAAAAACATCACAAGATCTGCATTACGCCGCTACAGTATTTGAGTATAAAACTTAATTAATGTCTATTTGATCGCGAAGTATCTCCGGGCTATTTAATCTAGGCGAGTCATTAACTGCCTATTGAAGAAGTGAAATTAAGAGCGAGCTAAGTAAAACTTTAGTCATTTACATCGAGGGCTGTGTAGTGTGTAGTTGTGTGCGCCAGAGGTGAGAGAAGGTGCGGAGTGTGTAGGTAGGTGGCGGGTACTCTGTGCAGCGAGCTCTAGGTGGCCGGGCGTCGCGACGCCCGAATTTCACAGTTCACTTGAACACAAGGAGATCATCCGACTACACTAATCCCACTGCAAATTTTAGTTAGCTAAAAATTACCCGTGCCTATCCGTTGCTTTTAAATTTGATGAGTTTTTAACTCTTTGATGCGCTTAATACATCGGGTCGCCGTAAATTGGCGGAATAGAAGCGCTAAACATCATTATGTCAAGTAATTTGGGGAAGTGTCGCTTCATTATATTATACACGGCTCTGACTGAAACCTAGTTAAAACTTGGACAGTGATTAAATAACAGGAAAATCTTTCAAAAAAAAACTGAAATATTAATCAAATAATGTATGAAATATTATAAGTACGGACTAGGGAGGTAAGTGATTGCTAGAACCTTAGATCTAACGAACCTTAGAAGCGCAGTGCATTCATTCGAGCGAGTATTGTACGCCTGGTTGCCGCGACGCGGGCGAAGCAGCGCGGCCGCATTATATCAAACGATTCGTTTTCATAAGAAACCCATTGTCCGTTTACTTCTTACAATTAAAACATGGCACAAACAAAGGAATTTCTAATTTCCAGCAGAAGATAAACAAATGTTATGTAAGCAGACGAAAAAGGAAAAATGTGAAGTTGTCTCGTTCCGACGAAAATAAAATGGCTCGAAACGAAGAAGGGTGAGACCGGGGGCGCTCACGTAATTATACAGGACTAATCGAGTGGATGCAACAACGATTGAATGCCGGAGCGACCGGTTCAGTCGAGCAGAACCATCACCTCGCATCAACTCAAATATCGCCAATTATAATTCTATCTCTATACAATTGACTCATGCTACCCCATACTATACAACATCGCTTAGTGAGCGATTCACACAATATTTCGCTATGTATCGTGTAAATTTAGCAGTATCCGTTTAGTGGTGAATTCAACTACGATATCATTAATACTATTTAAAATCTGACTGTAAATGAAGACAGGAATATAGGGAGAAAGCTCTATTATGGCACAAATATAGTAAGTACGTAGATCATAAGCATAACTTTGAGCTAAGTATTTGTTAAAATGGAAGCAGGATAACAAAGTACTTTATTCCTTGGTAAACCTCATTTATTATAAAGTACTAGCGGACCCGACAGACGTTGTCCTGTCTACACGTGTTTAATTTGAAAATTTCAAACTTTTTTTAATAATTTTTTTGATGAAAATTATTATTCAAATTGTGAATCTAAACCATTCCCAGATCCCCTTGAATACACACAAAAAATTTCATCAAAATCGGTCCAGTCGTTTGAGAGAAGTTCAGTGACATACACACTCACAGAAGAATTATATATATAAAGATATAAAAATATTGAAACGAAAAGTAATAATTTATATACTTTTTGTCAATACAATGAGTCGATACAAAGTGTAACTAAGCAGTAACTAACATACACAGTCTATACAGAGCTGTCTGTGTGTAGCAGAGAGCGCACAAAGCGACGAGCCCGACAACACAAATCAGGCCTCCCGAAGCAAACAATGGGAAGGAAGCTCACGTTTACTACTACTACTACGCTACGCTACGTTGTGCCGCGTACATAGCGCGCCAGTGGCGAGTCACCGCGTGTGCCGTGTGCGACCGGCGACCGGCGACCGCCCGATCGATACCGTTTCCACCAAATTAATTCCCAATTTCTATCATGCTCGCTAAATTATCTGTGCAAGCTGTATGTATACTATACTCAATGTTATATATAACATCACTAAAATAATATATGTCTTATGTATATATCTATTGTAATTTTAGTGACAGTGGCCAGAGGAAATGTTGATAAGCTTTCTACAAATAGACTTAGTGAATAAGAGTTAGAACGTGCTCTTCCAGTAACGCACTCGTTACAATGTATTTTCATTATACTTTATTAATTTAAATTCAAAATATTTTATTCAGCATTAAATTATTATAATTTTTTACTGAAGATCTTGTCAACTACCGCATATTAAATCAAAAGTTAAAAACAATATAGTTACAAAATCCCATATTGCGTTTATTAAAGTAAATCATATGTAATATGTAATAAGTCGATATGTCACTTTGTCTATATGTCAGAGCCATTTTACTGTGGGACTATTATTTATCGCTAAACTACCTACGGAGGTGCCTCTTATGAACTGATGGATAATATTTTTCAATATTTGTTAATTACAAATAATAAAATAATCAGGAACCGCTCTCCGTAGTCGAGGAGGAAATTTTTTGAGTGTAAATAAAATACTTATAGTAAAACTTGTAAGATAGCTTTTAAAATATTTTAGGTTTCACGTTTTATTACATTATCGACTACAAAATGAATTTGTTTTGTAGATATAACAAGAAATACAAACATTTTTAGGATCAATGAAATCAATTCTGTCCATGCGATTGTAGTTTAACTTTAACCTAACTAATGATGTACCAGCATAAATTTTATATTTTATTCTACGGAACACTCAGTGTGACTCAAGACTCGCACTTGTCTGAATTTTTTGTATTTAAACTATTTCGACTGCAAGGTGGGAGTCGCTCGAGAAATAGCATCAGTTCATACGTAGTTTTGTTCTAGTAATTTTTGCTGCGGAAGGGCGTTCACCCCGTCACAACGAGATACTAAGCTTGTTATATAATTAGAAAAACATTTTCCGAGTCACATTACTATAATTACATTTTCAAATAAGTACATTTATCAAACGTTTCTCTCGCGAAAGTTCATAAGATATTTTACTAACAATTTAGTCGTTAATTGGCTTTCAATGTTTGTATTTGCGAATAAATTTTTTACATAAATTTTTAACAGAAGTTCAGTATGTTTTATATTTTTATAATAGGTACGAGTATATTATAGTAAGGTAAGTTTTTTTGTCATTCATTCGGAATATGAATAAGGACGGAGAAAACGGTAGAATAAAAAAAAACCCACATTATATCGTAAGAGCTGAGGAAAAACATTATTTTCTATACATATAATAAAATTCTAACTAAGTAGAAATCTTATTGAAATAGACATTATTATCGATACAGAGGCCGAATCTATAGTTTTTAGAATTTATGTCTGTCTTTCTGTCTGTTACCGCATCACGAGAAAACCACTGGACAGATTTTGATGAAATTTGGTATGATGATAGCTGGTTATCCGGGTCAACATATAGGATACTTTTTACCGCGGGAAAATATCTCATTTCTGAGAAAAAATACAAAAACTTCATTGTAAGAGTATAACTAATATGTAAAGCCTAAGAATTTGGTTTTTGGTCTTCTGAACGCGGGCGGAGCCGCGGGCAATACTAGTTAACATATAAAGTTGTACGTGAAAAAGTTTGCAACATGGTTTTAGTTGATTACAGCCCTCCCAATTGCCTTGCAAGGGTATAGCCAAGTCGGCATAATAGTTCCCTCGAGTAGGCTCAGGGCGGGGCGAGGGGGGTGGTGTAATTTAGTTGCGGCGTGTCGTTCAGGATTAATGCGTCGTGTGAGTCCACTTGTCATCATATAACTCGCCTCTACGATTTAAAATAGAATTACTGTTCAGAATTATTGATACAAAAGTCTGAATTAGAAATGGGTATAGGATTTAGCACTTTCTAAAACACTATGCACTATACAATTTTTAAATTTCTACTTACATACGCTAATTTTAAAGCTATTTTTGGATCTACAAATATATACCTTCAAACTCATCGTCTAATTATATATTTTTATTACTATATGAAATATAATCTTATTTTCCTCACAAACAACGATAAGTCGTATTCATCAATAGGAAGTGTAGTATCTACTGCTGGTCGGCGGAAAACATGTAACGAGCGTCGGGGGGTCGGCCAATTACCGCATCAGCGATTACGTCGCACCGATTGTCTTAAAATGCAGCCTCCGAAGCTATCTATTTTGACTTCCCCCAACCCTCTTGGATAGGGGTGACTCTAAATGTTCAAACTTGTATCATTCAACAGGATTTAAGAATACTTTACCAACACTGTCAAGAGATGCCGCAATGTAAGGGGGTCGTCCATCCATTAGCATCACATACTAATACGTTTAGATGTACATATACCGTATACATAGTGTTTGCTTATAGAATTAACCCTTTTAACACGCTTTTATAGCTTCACTTGTACTATGTAATCACAGGATAGAAGACGAATAAACCTACTTTTTTGAAATACGAATACTATTATACGAATAATAGTACTTAAATGTGTGAAATACGAATTATAATATATTTGGTAGTATCGAGTTTTGTATTCGGCCCTTTTTAACGTCCCACAGCTGGGCACGGGCCTCCCTTCAGTACAAGGGGGATATCTGGCACCGAGTATGGTAGAGCAAAATTATTGTATTATTGATAATGATGTCATGTAAAAAGTGGTACCTAGTATCTACTCTTTAACTTATAAAACTATTGAATTCAGTGTGATTTGTTTTGTTATGATGCAATATTTATATTAAGGCAATAGATGATCAAATCGTACTTTTTAAGTTAATATTAAAATAATTATTCATTATATACATAATTAGTAAATTTACACAAGACAATTAAATCCAATATAAACGTATAGAATCTGAATACCTTCTGCTGAATACGAGTAAAGTCCAAGACATAAAAGGCAGAGGGAAACCCAAGAAAACAAACTAATAAAAGTTAAAAGTAAAGAAGCGTATTGTTGACAACAAACCGGAATGCAAATGTCTATCATATTTATTCAACGCACGGATGGAGTTACGTCTAAAGGACTTGTATATTATTATTTTTTTTATATGTTGGGACATTAACACACAGCACCATCTAGTTCCATGGTAAGCTACGAGGCTTGTGTTATGGATACCAGATAGTTGATACACTGCACATATATAACTTTGAATGCATACAAATTATAAATATAAACACCCATGACTGGAGTACAAACATTTGTGCTCATCACACAAATGTATGCCCCCAGCGGGACTCGAACCCGCGACCGCTAGCACAGAAAGTAGGGTCACTACAAACTGAGCCAAACGTGTCGTCAAATATATAGCTCTATCTCCAATATTAAAGGTTGTGCTTACTTATAAAACCTATCATTTCTTAGGTATTAATAAAATCTAGACACAAATGCTTAGATCTGTATAAACTAAGTATCTACATCGAATAGCAATCGATCGGTATGTTAAGTAACTATGTACCTAATCATTTAAGTAAAATATCTGGACCTTTTTATTACAAATTTCTTTGTAGTGAACGAAAAGGAAATTATATTAAGTATCTAATAAATAAAATCAAGCGTCTTTCAAAAGCGTAGCTGTACGGGATTTTTATAAAAATAATATCTAAAATGAGCCACGAACTTCAATAGGAAATCTTTTTACAAAAATAAGATAACTTAATACATTCATTTTATTCGTTACTATAATTGGACCCAGTTATGCAAAAAACAGCCACGTGCGTAAAAGTACCAACAGAGTTATAAGCATTTTTCTGTCGACAGTTGCACTTGGGTTATGTTTTGTTTTTCTGGTTATTTTAAAATTGAACAATATTATTATTTTATTTTAATTTTTATAATAAAATTTAATTATTTTATTTTTTATAATAAAATGCTTATAACTCTGTTGTTACTTTTACGCACATGGCTGTTCTTTGCATAACTGGGTCCAATTTAGACATCAACAACGCGCTAAGCGAGCTATCAAAGTGAGGCGAGCATTTTCATTCGAAAGCTAAAATGTAGTTATTTTAGGATAAATTCAGACGACATCGTATTCTTAATAAATTAAAGGCTTTAATAACATCAAAAAGAGAAATTACTAGTAAAGATACAAAAAATTGTAGAGCTCATACGATACGTTCATCGAAAATGTAAATGTTTTATGCAAAATCTTAATATGTATGTATGTATTTCAATCTTAATATAATATTTTAATACAGTACAATGTTATTTTTTAATAGCAACCGCTGAATTAGGAACTTTTACAATTATTTTATTGATAACTAGACAATATGTACATATGTTACTGAAAAATGATATGTATTATGTTTTTTAATAACATTTTAGATTTTGGATTTATTTAAGAGACGTAGCGACGCGAAAGTTTTTGAAGATGGAATGGATTATTGTTACTCTTTCAAACAAAAAGTGCTGAACAGATTTAGATGAAACTTTACAGTAATATAGCTTATACATACATCAGAATAACACGTAGGCTATAATTTTTGAAAATATAGTGATACATAAGTGACAACCTAAATAAATTAAAATTTACAAATGTGTATATAAATAAAATATATAAATTTAACATAACGATCGTAATACCCACGCAGTCAATTATTGAATTCTAGTTTCGTAAGTGAAGTTGCATTTAAGTACTTTAACAAGCAAAGTTCTGAAGTATTGCAAGTGTTTTCAGACATGATATAAAATTAGGTAATATTCGCAATGAAATGTGCATTCTTGTGAAAACAAACGCTCTCCGCGAGACTTTAATGAATGCGAATGGAGGATGGTTCATAGAACACCTCCTTCAACGTTTTACAACGTTTCGTAACTTTTAAATCATTAGCCTTACAACGATTTAAAATGAAATGTGAGTTTGAACAGCAGCATATTAGGACATAGAACTGATGATGATGTTCTCCTAGCCGATTCCGGCCACGGCGGCCAATCTCATTGAGACTAGCCAACTGCGCAGGAGATATTATAGTGCACAAGTGTACGCGCAGACACAACGTGCACTCTCTATTCCTGTCACTCTCATACACTATGTTGATAACGTCTCATCTTTAGATAAGATACGCGTAAACGAGAATCGACTCGAATTACACACGTTCGTTTTGTACCTAGACGAGCAGACTGTGCTTCAGTAAATGTTTATATAAAATAGCCTGGAATAATAAAAAGGAACCAAATTTTCTTTTTTTTAATATAGAAATTTAAGATTTATTAGGAATATTAGACAATAATGATATCATGAAAATGATGCTGGGTTGCCATGAATAAAGCGTTCACACTCAAAGTGGATACTCTAAGAGATATCGACAAGATTGTCAGTATCACCTCAAGTTCTTCCTCCGAGGAGTGGTGATCGTAGAGCTGGTCGGGCTCCGGGGCGGGCGGCGGCGGCGCAGGGGCGCACGCGCACGCCTCACCGCCCATACCTGCAATGACACAATACAATTAGCAAGGTAATAAAGGAAAAACTACATTTTATTTTACAGTTGACGTTATGCTTATATTTAGTATCTTTTATATAGGGTGATATTTTGTTTGCTATAATAAATCCGCTTTCATCTATAGCTGGATATAGCCTCTTCTATTGCACGCCACTAAGTTCGATCTCAAGCTCTGCGTAACCAACCGACGTCAGTCACCTTACATCTATCACCGCTCCTCCTAGCTAGAGGCGTGTTATACTACGTTGACCGAACCGTGGTCTTCACTCGGTTCTGCGACATATATCAACATTTTCAGCACATCAATAGCAAACCCTTTGTCTACCACCAGTTCGTAGAGACATTGGTTTTAAAAAGCTCATAGTATTACAATTGTGTCATTAAAACGTTTCAGATGATCAATTGTTGTAACACAATTTTATTTATTACATAAGCTATAGCTTAATAGGTAAATATAAAAATATATCATAAAAAATTATAGAATATTCCAGCAAAAATATAGTTAATTGAAAGAGCTTTTAATTTTAAACATGCCGTATTAATATAATTTACATTATATTTTTTGTGAAAAAGTACTTTGGGTGCTTTAAAGAGATTGTAAAAATCATTTTACATTTACTAAAGTGCAGATTATACATACATTTCGTCACTTGTTTTTTAAATATTGAAAATGTGCAAGCTCTTGAACCTTGTAGGACCTTAATCGAGGGTTTTGGGGAAAAGATAATATGAATTATCTACGTATTTTTTTTAGGTAGCTTATAATATATATAGAGATAGTCCTCTCTATGTAAAAAAACGATTCTTTGGTTCGTCACTACCTGAGAGAAGCAACATTGTAACATTAATAATAGATTAGTAATGTATAAGTAAAAATGGTCATATAAAAAACATCTTTTAGTGATGTAAAATTATAAATCATCCTTATAAAAATACTAACTAGGCACTAAAGTCTAATTTAAAACAGTGTAGAGTCACACAACACTAGCCAGATCTGTAATAAAAATGAATTGGCATGTGACCAAATAAACGAACCGATATATTATAGTACAGGCATTGGGCAGTGAGCAGCGAGCAGTGCACAGTGTAGTACTACGGATAAAGGGAATTTAATCAATTAAATGATGCTACACAATGTATGCGATGTACTCGCATGTAACGAATTATGTAATAAACAACACGACACTTTATGTTCTGATAAGTGGATAGTACTCATGTTGGCGAGTGTACGTGCGTTTGTCACGCGAGAAACACCTGAAGACGAGTTTTAGCCTTGATAGAGCTTTGATATATGTAATATGTTAGATTTTATTCTGAAGTAAAAATCGTTATTCTTACTAATAACAAACATAAATGTGAAATTGAGCTTGTTCCTTCAAAATTCTCAGAATCTCAATGCCTCCACACGTAGGCGTGTCTCCATATCGACGAGAAATTTATCTACTCTACTTTAATTTCAGTCTAGTTTTTGTAAAATAATAATACAATAAAATTATACAGATAAATTAAATTGTTCAGTCGCTAGTTAATACATAAAAATAGTTGATTAGTTAGAGGAATAGCAAGTTTAATAAGCTTTTTATAAAAATGATTCATAGAAATATTAAATTAAGCGTTGAAAGTTAAGGTGATGTAACCATCCTCACAATGTATAATAATAAGTACTTAATAAGTAAAAAAAAAATACAAAAGCTCCCTAGTAGAAGGCGAGCTGCGCGCGGCGCTGACATCGGTCTCGTGGAACAAATTAAAGGAACGAGCCACAATTCGCTTAACTGATGTTAAAAATAACTGTAAAAATCGTTACTGTAGATTATTTTCGTGGTCGCTGTTTTTAAATTGTTAGACGATAGTGTTAGCCTGCAGTGCAGATGTACGAGTACCTATAGATGCCAGAAGCTATATCAAGGATATAAAAGGAATGAAGAATCAGGGTTTATTTTTATAATAATATCATACTGAACATAATAGTAAAGTATTATTTTCGGAAAAATAAACAAAGTTCTTAAATGTTAATAACCAATTATTTTTGGCTTTCCCGCAGTCGGCAATGAGCATTGTATTCAGTCCTTTTTACGTCCCGCTGCTGGGCTCGGGCCTCTCTTCAATACGAGGGGGATCAGGCCATAGTCCACCGCGCTCTCCAAGTGCGGGTTGGCGAACTTCACATGTCTTTCGAAAACTTGCTAGGTTCTCTCAGACATGCAGGTTTCCTCACGATGTTTTCCTTCGCCGTAAGGTAAGTGGTAATCTATTTTTGAGAATGATTCGCACATGAAAATATCAGAGGTGCGAGACCCGGGATTTGAACCCGCTTCACTCGGTTTTCCAAGCGAGCGCGTTACCACTAGGCTACCATAGCCTTTTTTTTCAATGAGCATTAAGCAATAATTATTATTATTTATTATATAATATTTATTTTCTTTAAATTGAGAAAATAAAATGATAGATACTGTCTAAAAAATATTTTTGCGAACCATTTTCCAATATGGCGGCGTGAGCGGCAGACACGAGGCGGCGAAGTGAAAATTATAAAGGGCACGTTGAATTTTATAAAAATACCAATTTTAAAAATTTATGTTAAATTTTTCAGGATAAATTCCCAATTAGACTGGCCATCTAATGAGTTGCTATTATTATTTGCCAATTACCTACTGACAAAATTATTTAGCCCCACACCAATACATCACGTTATTTATACTCGTAATGTCATTTTTCAATATAAATAACGATCACTATAAACTGTTTATGTCAAATACTTTTCATTTTATTGTTTTTTTTCTTAAAAATGTTTTCTTTTTTTTTCAAAAAAAGTTAAGAGACACACGACAGAAGTCTTACTCCAAAAAAAAAATTGAGAATCGGGCTATGTCCAACTATATAACATTTTTGGTACATTGTATTCTCTCGGATTCTTCTTACCTTAATAAAAATCAACTTTATACGTATCGTGGTATCAAAATAATAATGTAGAATATTTTAGAAGTATTTTTTTATCTAAAAGTTAAAAGAAATTATCCGTCTTTGTATAAAATATAGCAAACAAGTAGATGCAATGTGATTGATGCCTGTTTTTATTATATTGTTACCAATTTTTTTCTTTTATACCTTTCATGTTTTATATCGTTTTACATATTAATTCTATTGTTTATTTGCCCACGTATATATCCTAGTCAAAACAAAATAAGGGCCACGTTTTTACAGTATTCTCATGAATTCTTGAGGTTCAAGGATTGATTAATGATTTGATTGGATAAATTAATTGGTTTTTATTGTAGACAGCATAAAATAATGATGGAAACAATAAAAATAAGGTTTTGTAAGGAGCTGGCTGTGATTAAGCATTCTCTACGCGCTGCTGCTCGAACTCTGCCAGATCTCCGTCTCCTGGTTAGTCTCCCAGTCTCTTGAAAACGATTCCAAGCATTCTGGGTCGCTCGCCGGGAAAACGCCAGTTACGATTGGTAAGTCCGTATGACGTCGAATTCGCGGCATAACATTTTTGAATTGTTAATTCAGACACTAGTTAATCAAGTTAAATAAAACGTACAGTGTTCTTGACAGAATCGTTACTTTGAGTTAAAATCCGTCTTAAAATCGGGTAAAATCTAGTTGTTCCAATAAATTATCAAAAACTACCCACTTTAAACAATTACGCAGGTGGAATACTCAAAAAATGTTTGTAAACAAATAAGGTAACACCACGATAAATAATAATCATCTACCTGAGAATACCTATAAAATAAATTATCGCTAACGAAGTCAAAAAATCAAGTGGCCCTTATTTTGTTTTGACTAGTATATTTTAGTAAATTTAAATATAACTTTAAAAATAACTATTACTTATTTGGAAAAAAACTTAAAATAATAAAAATCTTTTTCGGTAATAAAATTTCGGAAATTAAATTTTGTTAAGCAAAAGATATATATTTATATATTACTTTACATATGGCTACTATATTGTATATGATATCTACATATCCCACTTTCTGTGAATGTAGCCAAAGGGTGCAGCATGTCTTATAACAGAGTTCTGAATAATTGAAAGCCTCGCTTGACGCACTGTTTAGATCGCATCTCAAAGTATCTGAGATTAAATGTTGCATGCACCTTATGCCCTACAATGGAAGGGTTCATTTGGCGTGTGAAAGGTTTCTTGGACAGCACTATTATCGTGGTGCAGAAAGATCAAGATTCAATGCGCTGACGGCAGCGAGTCACGACGCGTCGCGGTGGCCACGCGTCCGAGCCTCTCGGATATTTATGGGCCTGAATACAGACAGCTTCCGGTCTCTTGTTTTCAATGATTTAATGTTTCATGCTAATGCAAGCTGCGACCGCCTCTGGAAGCTTCATTATGAGGTAATAACACAATTTACATCTTAATTTGTTATAGGTATGTATGTACAGAAATACAATAAAATAGAATTCATTTGATATATATTTACGAAGTCGTGGTACCTAGTTCATAGTACACACCAAAGATGTTTGTATTTAAAGTATCTAATATCCGAAACAAAAAATCCGGTTTAAAATCACTAACAATAGAAACAATAAACGAAAATTTATTCAAGATGTTAGTTGTGTTCGCGCGCTGCATTCCTCCGACTAATTATCATAACTAGTCTTAATGTTTAATGTATTCATTTTATGTGCGGTACATGTATTTGTAGTGTACAATAGATGCATAGAAGTCGACATCCATACGTGCCCTAATAGGATAACATCGCAAAAGTTAATAAGAATCGACACTAAGTCCCGGACAACTTGCTTAGCATATATATAGCGGTAAAAAATTGTTACTACCATTACTTATTTATATATTAAAATCTTTTAAAAAGGAGGTTATGTTCCGAAAATTGCCATAAAGAATACTTGTTTTTATCGTCGCATAAAGTGACCGGGATCCCATGGGATAACAGTATTTCACTATCGACGTTGATAATTATAATTTATTTAATCCATAGAATCCTCCACTGAGTACC